TCATGTTCACCTTTTATTTTTCCCCAACTGTCTGCACTGCAATATGGGGTCTGAATTTCAATTGTTGTGAGCCTCTTATCAGGTTTCACTCAGTGTTAGCTTCTGGTTTAGCTTTAACGTCCCTGGAAACCTGAAGTGTTCAGTTCCCCCTAATTTCAACTCACAATTCGATGTTTCTGAATTAGGGCACAACTCAAAGAATACAAGCTTTGAAACCATGGGTTCCATCACAGGCCAACATTCTTTATAATGACAGTTGCACTTCCTTATTATTGTTATTCGAAACCACTCATTCTTCTCCTTTATTCCCTCTTCTCTATCAGGTGAGCACTTTAATCCCTTTTCCTCAATTCATGCCAGCCAGTTCAACTGACAGCTTTCTCTCCATTTCACGAATAATGCCACTGCTCACCTCCCCTTCCCTACATTTGGAAATGCATTTTTTTGTTTCCGTCTATGCAGCCAAAGGAAGGAAACTGGAGTTGAGGATTATCAGATCAGCCATGATCTCATTGAATAATAGAGCAAACTCAATGGTCTGAATGGCCTCCTCCTGCCCCCGTGTCATCTGGTCTTCCTTCTTCACTCTTTTGTGGGACAACCACATTGTTGGAAAATCCAGCATCTGTTAGCATCTATAATTGCTCATGAACTTGCTGGACCACTTGCAAGACCACCTCAGAGTATGCATAAAAGTCAACCACATTGCTGTGGGTTTGAAGTTGCTTGTAGGCCAAACCAGATGAGAATGGTAGGATTCTTTGTCAATTAGTTAACCATCCATCACTGAAAGTAGTTTCATATTCCTGACGTAATCACGGTGGGATTTGAAGCCATGACCCCTAAGCCTTAACCTGGACCTCTGGACTACTACTGACATTAACACTACACTACCATCTTTCCTCACTGCTTATGCAGTTCTCTGTTTTTACCCCACATTTACTTACTTCGTCCAATTCACTGAATGAGTCTTTCCACAAACCTTTACTCCCAGCTCCAAGCTGATGATACTGACTGTCTGTGCAACTGAACAAAGTTGCATACTAGGAGATCAGAAATTCCTGCTTGATAGCAGCATTCAAACTTCAGTAATAGCAGCTGTAATAACATCAAGTAAGTATTGGAAGCAGAGGTAATGGGTCAGACAGCAGAGCAGGACAGTTTTCACACAACATTTTAATTCCTGCAGATTCTATGATTAAAAAAAATGCAGCCATGATTTTCTATTGCTTCTGGTTGAGGCAAGTATTTGATTCCATTACAAATCGAATAGGAATTGATAATGCAAACTTGTCCAAAGTTGAACAGCATAGCTAATGTGCAATCTAATTATCTGTTGAAACCATCACTTCAGGATAACAGAATCAGACATACAAGAGTGTGATTAGTAGATATCTGGAGTATACACTAAACGTCATCAATATTATGTTTGCTAAATATTTATTCAAAAGAGCTGCTAATAACTGGTTTTGATGCTTACATGAATAACCATAGACACGGATGATCAATTACTTACACAATTGTATGGCTCCATTGCTTGGACTATGTAAATGAAACTTGTGGAATGTAACCAGATTGGTTTGAAAAGTATAGCCTGCAATTCAATTAATTCAAAACCCTCTGCCTCATTATCTACTGCAGTGCCGGCCAATGTGCTCTCCATCAGTAATGCCTGCTTCATTTTAATGGGTAATGCTGCAATGCCTACTTTATCTTTACATATTCAATTCTCTAACCCAGTGACCACAATATGTCTGAATTTTACATTCCATTTGAAAGTGAGGTAGTCCAATCTGAAACAAAAGGTGTGAAATTTGAGTAAGGGCAATTATGAAAGCATGAGGCTCAAGTTGGCTGAGCTGGATTGAGAAAATACATAAACCAAGTACCTGTGAACATTAAAGAGAACAGCCATCCCTGACTTTATCACGGAGAAGATGCCCAGTTTTGATGAGGAATAAGGAGTTGTGTTTTCGTTGTGCAGTGTGGATCTTGCAGCTGCTCCTGGGATTGCAGGCTTAGTTAAAGATTTATAATAGTATTTTTTTAAAACAGTTATTACAGTCATGGTAGTTTACTAATAAAATATTTTCTTCCATTTTGTTTTATTAACATTAAAAAAAGACCAATAAACCAATTAATACAAATTGTGTTTTTTTCAGACATTTTTAAAAAACTTTTTTTAAAAGGGTCTACAGTGAATGGCTGAGTTTTTTTATTCTTAATTCAGAAATTAAAAAAAGTCAACATGTGTCTTAGAGGTTTTTTTTTTACATTGCAAAGGTTTTTTTTGGTAAAAACCGAATAGTTTTTTTTTTAAATAAGGAGTTGCGTTTTCGTTCCGGAGAGTCCTGCACATGGTCAGCTCCGGAGAAGATTTCCTTTTTCTTCGAGGAATTTATTGAAGAGGAATTGTTTTTATTCAGTTAATCAGCTAAGTGGTTGATTTTATTTAATTTTTGATATTTTTAATGTTTGATATATATATATATTTTCCATTTTAACATTGTTTTCTGTTGGTAATGAAAGATAGTTTATTTTAAAGGTGTTATTGAAGCATCATTTCTCTTTTAGGCTTAATGTTATTAAGGCCATATACAAGGTACAGACTGAAATCACTAGTAGATTTAGCAAAGTTATTACCCAGCACGATCAGTCAGATAGATGGGTGACTGTCAGGAAAGGTAAGACGGGAGTTCAAAAGTCTCTGGTGGCTATTCCTCGATCAAATAGATTTTCAGTTTTTGGAACAGTTGAGGGGATAGTCTCTCCAAGGAAAATGGAAGGGCCAGTCGGTTATTGGACACTTGGAATGATTCTTATGTTAGGCAGTGTTTGACAAGATTTAATAGAATTATTGTTATTGGGGACTGTCCTGTCAGGGACATAGACAGGCGAATCTGTGGCAGTGAACGTAAATTTAAGGTGGTTTGTTGCTTTCCTGGTGCTAGGATTAAGGACGTTTCTAAACGTTTCAAGCATATTGTTAAAGATGAGATTGAAAAACCAGAAATTACTGTACACATTGGTAGGAATGACATTTTTAGGGAAAAGATTAAAACAGTACAGAGTGAATTTAAGACATTAGGTAGAAAATTAAAAAATAAAACCTTAGAAGTAGTAATTTCTGGTTTACTCCCAATGCCAAACTCAAACGAGGGAAGGAACAAAGAGCTAAAGGAGATAAATCAATGGTTCAGGTTTTTGGACAATTGGAATGTCTTTTGGGATAGAAAAGACCTGTTCGAAAAGGATGGGTCTAACCTAAACTGGAAAGGGACCAATATCTTAGCAGGGAGATTTGTTCATTCTGTTAAGGGAGACTTTAAAATGATAGAGAAGGCGAGTGGAGGAATTCTAAATAGTAGTGTAAATGAAAGGATTGATCAAATGGGTCATTGGACTGAAAAGTGGCAGATGGAGTTCAATCTGGACAAATGCGAGGTATTGCATTTTGGTACACAAACAAGGGTAGGGCTTATAATAATTAATGGTAGGGTCTTGGGTAGTGTTGTAGAACAGAGGGACCTAGGAGTGCAGGTACATAATTCTTTAAAGTTTGCATCACATAAAGAAAGGATAGTTAAAAAGGCATTTGGCACTCTTGCCTTCATTGCTCAGTCTTTTGAGTATAGGAGTTGGGATGTTGGTGAGGCCTCTTCTGGAATACTCTGTCCATTTCTGGTCGTCCAAAAATAGGAAGGATATTATTTACCAGGATGTTGCCGGGTATGAAAGATTTGAGTTATAAGGAAAGGCTGGGACTTCTTTCACCGGAGCGCAGGAGGTTGAGAGGTGACCTGATAGAAGTTTATAAAATAATGAGAGGTATAGATAGAGTTGATGGTGGTTGTCTTTTCCCTAAAGATGGGGAATTTCAAGACTAGGGGACACATTTTTAAGGTGAGAGGGGAGAGATTTAAAAAAGACATGAGGCATTTTTTTTTTAAACAGAGAGTGGTTTGTGTGTGGAATGAACTTCCTGATGAAGTGGTGGATGTGGATACAATTACAATGTTTAAAAAACATTTGGATGGATATACGAGTAGGAAAGATTTGGAAGGATATGAACCAGGAGCAGGCAGG